AACAATGCTTCCCAAGCCTAACTCCAGGATTCTCTGAAATGTGATAAGATATTCACTGCACATGTAATATCGGGCCTTGTCCTGTTAGCTACAAAAACTAAACATCCTAACAGATTTCTAAAGGGTAATGTATGCATTCTCATTCTGCACTTGTGATGGACAATCTAATTTTGTAAGATATGCCTTTAGCTATGGGAAGTGAAGTATCTGGAAATGTTTAAATTTTTCAAAAATTTGTTCGATATATTTTTGCTGATGTATAAAACCCCATTCTCATTCTCTAAGAATTCAATTCCAAGTAACGTTTTAGTTTTGCCTAATACTTTAAGATCAAAAAACTTACTCAGCTGTGAAATTACTTTATCTATACTATATTGATCTTTACTAAAAATCATAATATCTTCTACATATAACAAGAGAATTACAATTGAACCCTTATAAACACAATTACACCATTGTATTTTCTTAAAATTAGATTTTTTTTAAGTACTTTCAAATTCACAAAAACCATTAACGGCCGCTTTGATGTACCATAAATGGCCTTGTGTATAAACACACTTTATTTTCCTCTTTGATAAATCCCTCTGGTTGGGTCATATATATTTTCTAAATAAACCAACTGCAATGGTTTATCCAATCTCTTCGGAACAGTTTTAAAAGTTATTCTACTAGATTTAGCAATAATACATGGTTCACACCTCTCCATTGGTTTTTCAATTTCTGGTAACCCTTTCACGCTTTGATTCTTACTAGTTTTCTTAATATAATCAAAATTTACGTGGCTAAATCTCCGATGCCATAGCATCGCATCATCTACTTTATTTAGCTTTCCAATTTCTGTACCATAACCAGCCTCCTTTTTATTTGTTGCATATCTAAATGCATGATGAAGTCCTTCATATCATTTAGCGTAGCATAATCTATCCCGATTATTAAAATATATCCACATTTTCTGTTTTGAAATCACAAAATGAGCACCTGCCTTTTCTAACTTTGCTCCCGATAGTAAATTTCTTCTTAGATTTGGATTATGTAAGACATTATCTAACTCAATCCAATTTATTCAATTGCCTACTTTTACTGCAAATTTGACGGTACCCTTTCCTAATACTTTACTTTCACAATTCTCTACAGCTCAAGACATACTATAATAAAATATTAACACTTTTTTGTTCTGTCCATCCCATGTACACAGTGATCAATTTTATTTTCAAAAACATCCGAGAACTGTAGAACTCAGCTTTGCATGCAATGTCATTCTCTCCATGTACAGCGTTTTTTCTTTAAAAAAAAAAAATCAGAAAATTACATACATTTTTGTCAGTGCACTTAATGTTGCTTTCCCATGTGTACAACGATCTATTTTTGCTGGGGGAAAAAAATCCTAGAACTGTATAAATTCAGCACTACAGCACAAATTTTGATTCATAAAATTTGACTGTTTACAAAGTATAATGTCATGAAATGCAAATTTTTACATTTTCTACTGTTAGGCAAAATGCCATGTTTCTGAAGAAAAGCACAGCTTTCTTTTTCAGCAGCTTGCAAACTCCACAGTTCCATTATGATTCTTTATAAGAAAAAAATTACACTCGATGAAAAAAAAAACAAATACTACTGACAATCGTAAATGCAACAGAAACAAACAATAATAACTTGCACTCATCCTGTTACATTTGCATGCATACCTGGGTTGCCAAATAAATACACTGTGACAGTCATGCCTTGCTATTTTGCAATATACAGCATTACCTCATAAATACTTTTTGGAGGAGATGCTGATAATTAGGAAATACCAAAAAATGCAACAGAATAAGTGGATAAGAGATGCAAAACAGAAAAAAAAAAAAAAAGTGTCAGTTTGATGCATTAAATGGTCATACATCAAACTTTTAACATCAACTAGAACACGCAACAAAATTCAATACTTATACAGTCAAAAGTCGTTAATCCGGACTCGTCGGGACTTCGGCGATTCCGGATTATCGATTTTTCCGGATTATAGATCATCAGTTTAAATCTGGTAAGATGGCATGCAGAAATTATAAAATTAAAAATATGAAACCGTAATTTATGAAATAAAGAACAATTATGATCTAAAGGGTATATCAAAATTTACAAAAAAACAAAAAAAAAAAAAAAAAAAAAAAAAAAAAAACCTTAATATTTATTTGTTTACTTTATTAAACATTTCTTTCAATGTAAGTTGTTTTAAGTTGCTTCGTTTCCTGTGATAATACTTTCTCTTTAATTCTATAAAACAAACATAATTTCTTGTTCGATTACACAAGTTCCGCTGTTCAAGTCCCGTAATTGCTGTGCCGAGAATACCGACTTACTTGTCAATCGAAATTTTTCGTTTTCAATAACCGCTGGCGGGGTCACGTTCTTCACTATCGGAAGCGAATTATAATCACGAGGAACTTGATTTAAATCATATCAAAGACGGAGTACATCGAGATAAAAATACTACACTTAGTAAGGAATTATAAGCCAAATAAAATAAAACATCTGCCCTGAAGATAAGGATAGTGCTGACAGATCAACTTCCAATCGCGGCGTGAAAATTGATAAACAGATTTCGGATTTCAAAACATACTTTCACTTGTAGATACAAATTACATATTAGTAAATATATATCGGAAATTCTATTTGACATAATCGAAAGTTCAAGCTTACTTTTATAAAATTGCTCTAACAGTCTGCAAAAAATAATAAGCCGGATCTAATTCGAAGATTAAGGAACAACGCAATCTGCAACATTAACTGAATTAGATAATTTTAGCTTCAGCTTATACCTCCGTTACACATTAAACGCGCATGCGCACAAACATATTAGCAGTCGTAAAGGTCTTACGCGCTCTCGTAAACGCCTGTGCGCATGCGTGAATGCGACGCATGCGCAGAAAGTTTGTAGTTTTGAGGTCCGGATTATGGGTGTCCGAATTAACGACTTTTGACTGTACTTCTTATACTGATTTGCAAAAAGCAAATTAGTGAGATTAACATAACACCAGAATGATATGTCAAAAACAGCCATAAGACCAATCGGGTGATTGCCTACGGTTCTGTGCAGTATGGCTTGTATATATGTGTAGCATAGCATTCTATGAGCATATGAGAAAGCACAAAGGTAATAAATATTTGAATTTGAATGGAAGCTATTGTCCAATGCACGTTTACATTACACTGATTTACTGTTGTAGTGTAATATCCCATAGACAATGTTTGGATAATATGACCTCAAATTGAATCACTGGGATCTTGGAAGACAGAGCGTCTCTACAGGGTTCGTACGGTTCTTAAGAGTTCTTAATTTCATCCAAAATCGGTAGGTCCTTAATTTTAATCATCTGAAATTTCTGTCTGTTTTTACGATTGCCATTTTCGGTGTGAATTAGCATTTTAGAGGGGTAGTTTAGCAATTCAGTGATGAATATGATTATCTTTTGAATGATTCATGTGTTATAAGTTGTTTCTATTTCTAATATGAATGGTGGGATTCTCGAGTTTCTGAGCAAGAAGTGAAACAAGAAGCATTTTGAAATTATTTCATTTTTTCTAATGAAGAGCTCTAAAACAACTTTTGCTTTTGGGGATGTGAATTCTTTTATTAAAAGGTTCTAAATTTGGCAATTTTGAGATAATTTTCTATAGAAAATTTTTAATTCCGAGATCTGAAAATTTTTCGACGATTTTTTTTTAAAACACTAACACTGATAAGTTTCATTAAAATAAAGGTAATATATTGAAGTTGTACTTAAAAAATAACATTAAAATAAAACATTTTTATCTTTCTCTGTTGCATTATGAAGTTCCATTTTGGCCACTTATTATACAATATTTAATATTTTGAATATGGAAAAATAAAAAAAGGTATAATGCTTAAAGCACAATTTACAAAACAGTTCTTGGCAAAAGCAAAAAAAAAAGCTATGTGATTAATTAAAAATGTTTCCTTTTTAATTTTTTCATGGTAAGAGTTTTTCCCATATTATTGTCTCAATATGCATTAGTTTTCTCTATAAAATTAATTTTACACTTTTTCCCTCTTCTCCCCCCCCCTTTCCCTGAAATTTTTTTTTTTTTTTTTTTTTTTTTTTTTTTTTTTTTTTTGCTGTTACAGAATTGGTAGGGGTAATTTTTCTTCAGGAGACATTGCAGCTTGGAAAGTTTAGAAGGATTTGAAGGCTAGATTTATAAACCCCATGATTCTAGAGATATGTGACAAAATGAAAAATGTCTCCATAGTATTAACACATAATGAATGTATTTTGCAGAAGGTTTGCAATGAATTTCCTACTTTTTGGAGAACATCTGGAAGAAGAATGAAAACATAATATTTGAATGTTTTACTTCTGATACTACAAAATTTCTTAACTTGTTTATCTTACCTACTTTTCACTAGGCGCAAGCATGAAAAATATCAAAAATGCTTCTAGTCTTTTTACATGGACAGGCATTATAGAAAGGAATTTTTTTATTGCTAAAGAAATTGAAAACTGACAATTTGAAAAGTTTATCTAATATGCCCTAATGAATCATACACAGGGCTGGCACTAGGCATTTTCCCACTTGATGCAATCTCTGTAGATCCTAAATTCTACCTGGTGCCTTTCTAAATTCTGCTTCTAGTGCCTGCACAAAATTCTAAAAGTTTTGCAATTTCTAGATTTTGTTACTCGGTGTGTCACTCAATTGTAAAAATTCTGCCACATCAGCTCTGTAACCAACCCTTACCATATATATTTCAGATTTCTTTTGAATGATCATATTACTAAAGAAATAAAATTAGCAGCTTTTTCTATACATTCTAAACGCATTTAGTTTTTTTAGAATAACAGAAATCTTCAATTAAATCCAGAAATTCTAAAAACTAAAGGAAATGTGTTGAAGAAAAACAATGCATAAAGAAAAAGAAAATTATGCTTCAAAGATATGTACAGTTATTATTATGTAAATTACCTAGTTGTTTATAATTCACTCTTTGCTATAATTTCCCATTTCCATTTCCTCATGAGAAAGCAAACCACTTAGACTGTTTTTAAACTGAGGTTTTTGGAGTGTAAGGCAAGGTGTGTTTCTGACTTCTGCTTGCTTGCTGCATTAGTTCCTGCCAGCTCTGATAATTTGTAATAATTCATCTCTGCATTATCGCAGCCGACATTTAAATTTGTTATGATGATAGAGTTAAGCTGCGTTTACACTGGTCCGTTGGGACGTCAAAGCGTAAAAAACGCTTTCCGCGTACATCAGTTCACACCAGCGCAGAAACTTTCACGTCAAAAGTTGTCATAAATGTGCCTAGATGGCTCTCTGTATCGGAAACTTGGGGAAAATGTACTTCCTGTTTTTCATTCCTGCGCATTGAGTTTCGTTCGCGTCCGATTCTTCCCAGGCTGCGTATTTTAAGTAAAAGATGGATGCTGTTTCAGCTAAATTGAAACTAATTTTGCTTCTTGCATTACGAAGAAGGAGAAATAAAAGATGGTGGGTTCGACCCATATTTGAGAGACGACTGCAGCAAGGGGATGCAGGTAATTTAATTGAAGAAATGAGACTAAATGATATCGAAAGTTTTTTCAATTATTTTCGCATGACGCCTAGTCAGTTCGATGAATTGTTAGCCCTGGTTGGACCATCTATACAGAAGAGAAATAGTAATTTTCGTCAAAGTATTCCAGAAAAAGATCGTTTGGCTGTAACATTAAGGTATGTATATATCTAACTTAGTTTATTTTTGAATTTTTCTGAATGTTTATTAAAAATTTTTAATTGCATGTTTTAACTTCTGAGGTGGAGTTTTCCATAAGAAACAGCACTGCATATAAAATTTTTACATAATGCATGTACTTCCCTTAAATTGATTTAGTTAAGTATATTTTGGTATAATGTGTGCAAGATTTAAAGAGTTACCAAATATTATACTTTGAAGAGGCATGTAATAAAAATTATATAATTTTAATGTTATTAAACCATATTTTCTGCCTTATGTTTGTATTTTTTTATTCTTAAATGTAATTTTAATTACCCCAATTAGTTATACATTAATGTCACTGTTTAAAATTAGTCAATTTTATATAAAACTTATTGAAGAAATTGTTTTTATATATTTTTTTTCCTTACAAAATAGCTGGCAGTTTTTGTTTTGAATAATTAATTTCCATATTAATAAATTTGTCAATGCTCAGGTGTTCTTTAATAAAAGATTGTCACCAAGGCTAAATCTTTGGCTTTGTTTTTATAAAATTTGAGTGAAAAGTGATCTTGCATTTTGAGGAAAACAGACAAGGTGTGATCACAATGCATAGAAGTATTTCATAAAATCAGCATCAATCCAGATTTGAATTTTGTCTTAATTTAAATGCCACATTCTGTCAAGCTTCCTTTCTGTATAAGTAATAGTCATCCTAAAATTTTTAAACAAATTGCTTAGTATTCACAAGTTATTAAACATTAAGAACTCAATAATTTAGAAAAGGAACCTTAAACTGTGTAGATTCTAAGTTCAAAATAAAGAATCTTGAAATCTAGCATTATTTACTCGCAACAATCTGTTGCTTTAGATTATTGTGTATAAATTATCGACCATATCTCATTTATAAATGATAATTATGATTATTTATTATTAATAAACTTGAGAATTTTCTTTTAAATAATTTATATATTTTTAACAGTTGTCTAAAGTATTTCATTTGGATTGTTTATTTGATTTCATATTTCCTTCAAGAATTTTTAAAGCATTTAAAAATTAAAGCAAGAGCTGGACATTTAAAAAGAATTAAGATAATTCCAATTAGATAGACTCAAGTTTGGTAGATAATCTTTTTTTTTTTTTTTTTTTTTTTTTTTATGGACATTTACTTACTTTGAGCATCTTTCCATTTTCTGCAATCCTGGCTTCATAAATGGTGATCACCCTCTCCTTTGTCTTGCCTTAACTATGAGTTCCTTATTGAAATTTAAATGAAAGATATTTATGATAGAATGATGCCACTTACAGACAGACGTAGCTGTAAGACAAAATAATCCTTGAGACGTATATCCTGATTCACATACCATCATGAATTCAATCTGCACCCTATGTTTTTTTGTAAGTTTACATTTCAAGACAATAGATGATACAAAGAAGTGAACTGTGACAAGTTAAATGGAAGCAAGCAAGCGGAAAAGTATCATGCATTCAGAAAACGCCTATGAGAATGTCAAAAGGTTTGGCTTTCTAGTGAAATTGTATTCACTGATGGGAATTGTAGTGAAATTTAAGCTGATACACGTACAAACATTAATGTTTTTTTCATTTAACATTCAAAATTTACTCCAAACTAAGATTATTGTTTCACCTATTTTTATATAATATATCAGTATGTTTCTCTTCCATTGATTGTTTATATGTTGGATAGAAATAGTAGTGGCCAGCTTTGAGGGAGGGAGTAGGATGACCAACCACATAACTGAATGCATAGAGGTGTTGCGTGGAATATTGCAAATTATTTCATCATACCATTAAGTACTTTTTTGCAAAACATTCTATTGTTATTTTTAAATTTTGAATTTTTGGGGTAGGATGACGAAAAAACTTTTTCTGCAGCCCTAAATGCTACGAGGGCAACCTCTGTATAGAATTATATTTAGTTTGAGTCGTTCAGTAATCTTTTCTTAAATAAAAGACATTATTTTTTGCACCTCATTCATGTGATTCTAACGTTGTGTTAAAACTTCTGAAAACTTTGCATTCTTCTATCTATGAATTTTCTTCATTGTCTGAGCTGGTCAAAATTTATCTTGGTTTTTCTTATTAGATACAAAACCTATAAACTCTTGTAGACCTATAGAATATTTTAATTTCTAATTCACTCCACTCTTTAACTGATCAGGAGTAAAGGCAATAAGTTATTTTTACTGAATACGATAAAAATATATTGAATTATTCCATTTTTGTGCTGTACAAATGTGTCATTGTTCTAGCTCTTAACAGCGTTGACATTAAATTATAAACATACTAACGACAGTTTATTAAAACAAATGCTTACTGTAATGAACAAATGGCTAAATTCTCAAATGAAATGCAAAATAATCATGTTTGTTTAATATCATGGTACTGAAATTTGGCATTAGTGTACCCTTTTATATAAACTAGCATCATTAAGTCACGTAGTCTAGGGTTATGTAAAGAATATTGTTCTTTTCAGTATAATAATACAAACTGATATAAAAGATACTTTTCCTAATTGTTCATTAATATTGATGTACACATGCTTTAACGAATAATTCTACTCTATGAGACCATGTCGAAAAATGCCACTGCTATTAGTGAGATGACCTTCAGCTTTTGCTTTATGAGAGGGGTAAAAAGTAATTTAACATGATTAATAAATCATTTATTTTGTGATTTGTAAATATATTAATGTAATAAAATTTATATGATAACATTTTTTTTACACATTTTAAAGATTTTTTGCCAAGGGAGATTTAATGACAAGCTTGTCATTTGCATTTCGAATGGGAAAGCCCACAGTCTCCCTCATAATAAGAGACACTTGTGCTGCTTTGTGCAATGTATTACAGCCAACTGTTTTGGAAGTTCCGAGTGAAGAAAAGTGGCTGCGCATTGCCCAGCAATATGAAACTTTATGGCAGTTCCCGCACTGCCTTGGATCCATTGATGGAAAGCATGTCATCATTCAGGTATATAAAACTGTTGTAAAATAAATAATGTGACTTTCACACACTACTCCCATGAGTAGGTTATGAAAAGTTTTTATTACACCTATATGTGTGCGTGTATGTAAATGTGTATAAGATAAAATTCTAACTTTAATTTGCAGTAGTTCCTTAACAATCATTGTAACAGTATAAACATTAAGAGGCTTATTTTATGATAAAATTAATCCTAGTTTTTTTTTTTTAATCAGTCAATGCTTAAAAAAATGGCACTTCAGCTGTTTTTTTTTTTTTTTTTTTTTGTTTGTTTGTTTGTTTGTTTTTAAATAATTTTAACATATATATTGTTAAAACTTTGCAGTGTGATTTATGTTATTAAAATGGATAATCTGTTTCAAACTTTTGTTTTTTGAACTATGATGCCTTGTATTCCTAATCAAAATTAAATTCATTACAGGCTCCACCACGGACTGGATCTACGTATTATAATTACAAAGGTTCGTTCAGTATTGTTTTGATGGCCGTAGCTGATGCGAAATATAAGTTCATAATTGTTGACATCGGAGCTGCTAGCCATCAGAGTGATGGAGGAATTTTCATCAATTCCACCTTTGGTAAAGCTCTTGATGAAGAAGCACTGAACTTACCTAAAAGTTCTCCAGTTCGTGGATCACAGTATTCATTACCATACATTTTTATTGGTGATGAAGCTTTTTCCCTTAAAAGTAATTTAATGCGACCATATCCTGGTCGAGAACTAGATACAGAAAAATACATTTTTAACTACAGACTATCGAGAGCACGGAGATACGTTGAGAATACATTTCAAATCATGGCTGCCAGATTTCGAATTCTGCGTAAACCGATTGTAGCTGGTCTTACAACCAGCCAGAATATTGTGAAGTCCTCTTCCTGGTTTTGCAGATACGGATGATGGCAGTGGCAATATTCTAACAAGCGGATGGAAAGACGAGAACATACAGAATTTAAGTAAAGTGTCTCGTTCTGCCACAAATATGTACAGCAGGAATGCAGTTGCTGTATGTATTTCATACACCAATTACTTTACAAGTGAAGGGGCTGTACCATGGCAGTATGCTACAGTTTCAAAAAAATAAAATTGACAAATATTATGCACACTTTTACTAGGTTTCAAGCTTCCTTTCTTATTTATGTGTATATATGTATTGCCATATAATTTATCTAATTATATTTTATTCGTATTTATTTTATTTTAATTTGTCTGTATATGTGTAAAAATTAAAATATTTTTCAACATCAAAGAGTGTATACTAAAAATTTACTTTAGAATGACATATATGAGGAAGAAAATAACTGGTGAAATCAAAAAAGTATAGCTATATGATATAATTAATCTGTGCAGATAAGAAGGCAGCAGTCACCCTTAATAATATGTACATTTCACGTCACACTAATTGTCTAAATTACAAAAGTGAACTCAAGTGCATGTATATAAGACCTGATAAGATTTATATAATTAATATAATGTGAATATACATAAATAATCTTATTTTTTCTTAAATAAACTTTCTATTAACTGAATTTAAGATTACAGTTCATTAGAAATTTAAGGAATTAGTTTTGCCCAAGAAATGTGAGTAGTGTACAAGTCTTAAATGAAATGTTTAATTTCTTGTTAGACAAATTAAACTTATTGATACACTTGGCTAATAACACAATAATAAAGGATGTATTTAGGATTTATTCGTCATCCATCAAATCAAAAATAAAATTCGCAAGACCTCTACAAGCCTTCCTTTGCTTTTCTGGAGGAAAAGACTTCACCATTTTGGATATAAACAGCATTAAGTGATCGTTGTTGTTGTGCTCCTGTGTTTCAAGGACAAAAGCAATGGCTTTGTTCATCATATTTTTTTTCCAGAAGAATCTGAAAATAAATAAAAAATTCATTATTAAATAGTAATCTCAATTCCCACTGTGCATATTTTACTGAAAATATTTTTTAATTTGTTTCACTATTTTATTTTGTATTTGGAATATATATATGTGCATTTCAGAAGATTTGAATTTTTTTTTATTGATAGTTAAAAATATTTTTGTAAATTAGCACATGTATATAAATAAAAAAATTTTCATCATCTACACATGATGTATAAAAATAACTTTAAAATAACAGTTTTTAATCTACGAGAATTCCAATTCATGTTAACATACTTTTAAGCAAAGAGCTAGACTCAGAAGCTGTTTCTTCTTGTATGAAATCTTCAAAATCCACTGAAGCTTGCATATCTAACTCCTCGAAATCCGTGGAGCATGATGAATTCATGCTTTGGGAACTCAAATTAGACCAGGTACTGAAACAATTACAGATTATGCAAAATTCAACCTTATGCTGATACATTTTATTCAAATATAACAGTGTATTAGTTTTATTGAAAAAATTGTTGCAGAGCAAGAAATGTTTAAAATTAAAATGCTTTAATATGCAAAAAACCAAAAATAATTGCATGTGAACCTATAAGGAAGTACAGCTTACAATGCATATTTCTAAACTGTGCTAATGGAATAAACCTTTTCATTACCTGGGTCAATCAATAATTAGTATAATTAGTGGATTATACCTAGAGGTATTCTAAAATGTATAAATAAACTAAGCAAAATGTTATAGTGATTCTCTGATAGGCTATATTTTAAATCTTAACTTACTTTGATATTCTAAAGATTTACACTTCAAACTTTTAATACAATGTTACAATTGACTGGACAACTTTTAATTTGCTCTGCAACTGAGCTTCTAATCCGATCTACTCGTATCCTAAAACAATTTTATTCTTTAAGAAATATTTAGATACCATTAATCCATTCCAATCCCCAAACAATAACTTCAGTTTTTAAATAAAAAATGAATTACATGTTATACAGTTCTTATTTATTTTTTATGCACGGTATTGCATAAAAAATAAATAAAAACTGTATAAAACATAATACAAATATATGGAAGAATTTAAAGAAATAAACTAGTTTTATAAGGCTTAATTATTTTGCTCTACTTAGGTACAACGTACCTTCATTATTCTTTACTGTTACCTTTCTCCACAATTTTTTCATTTTCATCCCTAGCTCATTTCAATAAAAAATTGTTCAAGAAAGTATGTATGTCATCATATGATGTTTAAGATTGTTTTCAAAATGTGTCAAAGAAGTGTCGTTTGAATAGTGCTGTTGTATGGCGAGTTGCCATTTTTTTCCAGTAAACTCAGCAACTTCTTCATGCTAGCACAAAATGTACTTAATTACAACTGAAGTAGAAGGCTACTCTACCCCTACCTCATTATTAATTTCCCCCAAAATATTTTGCGCTCCTTGATCTTTAATATAATTTAAAGTTCCTATAATTTTGGGGGCACAAATGCTGTGTGATTTTCTAAATAATAACAACTAGTGGGTTTATTTTGAAGTCTCGAATTGCCTTTGCATGTAGTGCAAAGATCAGCATGTCTGTAATAGATTTATGGCCAGGTATCCTTGTCGTCTTCCACCATTACATAAGTTCTCCTTAGCATACTCTTCCAGGAGAGACTCATGTTTATTAATGATTTTATGCTTTGAATCTAGGGACATCATCTGCTTCTTAGCATTACCCACTTTCTTAGGATCCAATGTTATAAATCTATCTTAATGGCAAAATGATGCACAATAATGTGAGGAAAGCATTCTTGATATATGAAATATGCATCTAGTATAAGGTAACCAAGGGAACTGGATAACAAGCTTGCTTTTTGCTTTGTTTCCAGTACTAGCTAGTGGTGGCATTGCGAACTTTTCACTTAGGCTTGTATGCAGACATGAAGATTTGCGTGAATGCTGGCTCCTATCCCAAAAATCTCATATTCAGATACATCACTCTATTTATTACACACATTCCATTATTTTATATGCAAAACAATATAAACACAAATAATTTCAAATAAATTTGAAGGGAGGGGTGATTGTTTTATCTTTTCCATAAAGTAAAATAAGAGCAATAATGCAGTACAAAGTCCGAAATCCGGACTCGTTCGGACTTTGTCGATTCCGGATTTGGAATTTTTCTGGATATTAGATCATCAGTTTAAATCTAGTAGGATAGCATGTAGAAATTATAAAATTAAAAATATGAAATTGTGATTTATGATCTGAAGGGTATCAAAATTTATTAAAAAAAAGAAAAAGGCTTAATATTTATTTGTTTACCTTATTAAACATTTCTTTCAATGTAAGTTGTTCCATTTTTTGTGCTAATACTTTCTCTTTAATTCTGTAGACAGACATAATCTCTTGTTTAGTTACATTGTTGAAGTCCTGTTACTGCTGTGTCGAGAATTCCGACTAACTTGTCAATTGAAATTTTTTCGTTTTTAGTCACTTTCCTCACGAATGGTAGCGGTATTTACGGGATCTAGAACCATACTAATTTTGCCGTTCATTAATTGATTGATGATTGAGTGCATTGTCATCACAATGAAAAACTTCTTTTATATCATTTTCATTTATTACTACTACTTCTCCACATTTCTTTACAAAATCCGTTAATTAGAAAATTTCACCTTTGTTTTGCGATATCTGAAAATCTTTAAAATTCGTGGCTATCATCATCAAATTTAGTTGTCATTTACTATTATTTGGCTATGCATCATGAGCTTCGCGACTAACGACAAGTTGTTCCATTAAATTTTATCTTGCTTCTATCGAGGCACTGAGACAAATAAGCCTGAATTGTATTAGTTTAGTTATTTATTATACTTATGTCTATTTCTTACACATGCTTAAGGCTTATCAGAGTTCTGAATAAATAAATTCCCACATATACTTAAGCTTTATTGAGGGTTGGCGCTAGATATCTTACCGCCTGATGCAGTGTCTGTGGGTCCTAAATTCTGCAGCCCGGTGCAAACGTCTTAGTATATTATTAAAGAATTGCAATTAAATGTTTGTCATTTGATGAAGGGTCTTATATACGAAAAAGAAAAAGCATAAATTTGGAAGTTCCTTGACCTGTTCAAAGTAATCAAATTTTAAGGTTTAAAAAAAGGTGCTTTAAAATTCATAGAAACACTTCTGGAAATATATGTTACATTCTAACATGAATAAATTTGATGTTAAATTTCATTCAGATGTTTTTGTATATTAATTTCAGTGATGGTATTAATTTGATAGGACACTAATACCTATTTTCAATCTGTATATTTCCCCCTTAAGTATATCTAATATATTTTCAAACCATATAAACTCACACAAAAGAAACTATATATATTTTAAAAGTAATAATTGCTTAGAATTACATTTTCAAATTAAAATTCTCAAAAAAAGTTCCGTTAGGTAAAATAATATTGTATGTAGTTAATTATAATGCTATGTTAGAATATTGTGGAATAGGTGCATGATTTAAAAATCTTACTATTTATCAATTAAAAATTGGTCAAGAAATGTCATTGATTGATACAGTGGTCATTCTCTTTTTCTTTTTCCACCACTACCACTCGTCTGCTTTAGTAATCATTTTTCTTTCCTGAAGTGATTTGTATAGCTCCTGGCATCTGTCAGCTACAAGAACAAATCATAAATATAATGAGAAACTTTAATCTGTAGAAGTCATAAATCATAATACTTCGTTATCTAAATTGATTAAAGAATATAATCTAAAAATGAAATAAAACATAGTATTGTTGTACTTAACAGTAGTACGAGAGGAAATTACGATAATTTTAACTTACAAATTCAGTAAATCATGCTTTATGAATTTACTTAAAAGTTAATTTTAGTCAAACTTAATTAGTTATATTTAAAAAATTAGCATAAGTAGTTAAAATAGAAAGAATTTTAATCAGTTTAAAATAAGAAATTTTATGCCACTCGCCTGTAGATCCAATGGCTTCAGCTATGCTGATCCATGCATTTCTTCTCATCAGGGAATTTTTATGGCGTTTATTATTGAGATTGAATATATAAGGATATTTCTGCAATTCATTTATGAGAAGTTCGTTCCGTCGCTAGAGAAAAACTCATTTTTTGTTGGTACAAAGTGCCAAAATGGGAAATGGTTTCCAAAGCTGCAGTAGTAAGCGGGTAAGTAAACAAACGTAATCATTGGTTGGTGCAGTCACGTGAATCGAGAAGCTAATGCGTCGAGCGTCAAAAAGTTGAAGTTAAATCAACTCGTGCGGTCTCCGGCCATCCGGCAAATGCCGCTTCTGAACTTGCTTCTGATTGGTTAACGCTTTACGCGGGGACACGTTGGTGTGAACGCAGCTTTACTGAGCAAGCTTAAATTAAAGTTAAATTGCATAGACTTTTACCACTAATTCACATCTGTAGTTTGAATTTGACTCTACTTGTTTAATTACATCACTACGAACTCTAATTGATTTTCTTAGCATCACAGCATGCCCTTATTTAAAAAGAACTTTGAACATAAAGTTCTTTTTAAATAAGAGGCTTATTTAAACCTTTGTCTGACTTTGTAGTTACTTTCAGACATAACGATAATTTGCTTCGCATCTGTGTGGGGTTTTGGATTATTTTACTTTTACTAGATCAAGTAAACCCTCATAGGTACATTATGAAGAGGTTGACAAGTTAGGAGATAAAGCACACAGAAACTATTGAGACAATTTTCTGATTGTTAGAAAAGATGCTTAAACAGAAGGAAATCGATATAAATTAGCCAAAATGTCTGGGAAGGCTTCAAATTAAAAAGACACATAAATATTTTGTTGAGTGTTGTTGCTACAAAACGTATATGTTTTGTAGCTTTTAATGTGTAATTAACCTAATATCATTTAAGAATCAATGTCATAATAATGTAATTTAAATTCTGGAATTTTATTAAATTTTGATTTTAACAGGACTTTTTTAACAAACATTGTTAAAAAATAAATTTAATAGTGGCCATGTAAATCCATAATGACTCAGGTTATCTAACTACCTAATTTAATTATTTATAACTAACTAACACTTACAAATTATCTCTGCATACTAAATTGAATTATTGCGTTTTATTAATCCTTACCGTGGTCACAAGCTAAAACACAAAAATGTCAAAATTCATGCAAAACTTATTCTTCGCATCTAGTGAGACTTAATACAATTAATAACAGACAGCACAATTAATACCGACTCAAAAATATTAAAATAATGCAAAACAACTTATCACCTTTGGTGCTTTAGTGGCGTACTGGAACCTTAAAATACATTAACTGGATTACAACCCCTGGAACTCTACACGAAGCTATGGCGCTAACTGCGTCAGACACTCAAATTATTTTCAAAACTTGCCAACTGTGCCTATATCAGGCCTTTCAGGCTTGTTCTGATCAGCAGGTGTCTCTCTAGGCAAGCAACAGCAATGACGACAAATAGACTTTTGTTATGAATTATGCCGATTGTGATTTTACTTCTCATTTTAACCTATGCCGTTTGACATAAAATCTACCTGTTATTTTCTAAACTGAGAAAGACAAAAATGAGACTACAAAAAACAAAAAAATAAAGCTGTTAGTAAAACATAAATATAATGTCACTTATGTTCTTTCAAAATATGTCCAACTATTATATGTGTAAAATATTTATTGCTACTTGATAAATTTAATAACGTTTATTTTATTCTCAAACTTATTCCTAATTATATTAATTGAAGTATGTTTAATAATAATGCATCCTATCATGTTTAAATGTGACCAGACGATTGCATGCAGGTTGTTCATTCACTTGGTGGCTATTGCCTGTGTACTGTGGCTGCCTATCTATCAGAAACACTGTTTATTTTATGTTGGAAACTTAGATTTGTAGTCAAGTATTGTGTATGGATTTAAATTCATTAGTGATTTTAGACATGTAAACAAACTGAAGAGAGTGAGAAACACTTAGTCATGCCTCTAACATCATTCAAAGGTACTGGTTTTGGGGTGGCAGAGTTCTTGTTTGAGAAGACAATGTTTCAGCTGAATGAAACTTCATGTCCCTATTCTCCTGAAGATCACTGCTGTAGTGAAATTCTCCTATTTCAGATGCATTTTTTTTTTTTTTTTTTTTTTTTTTTTTTTTTTTTTTTTTTTTTCAGGGTTTTGGTAGCCTCAAGTTTCTTTTTAAAGATGACCTGTTAGGGGAATATTAACTGCACTGTCCCTGGATATCAGCTGTGAGCCATGGTTTTGCAGATGTACCATGATGTCTCAAGATTCCAAATTTATTGTATTTTTTGAAGAACTGACTTTATTTTAAATTACAATGGGAAAAGTTAACAACAGGAAAGTCAATTCAAATGACAAGCCATCTTTCATTTGTGGTTGACATACATTTCAAAATGCAAGGAAACATTCTTTGCATTTTGTTCTTTTTAACTTTGTGAAATTGCAGATAGATCGCAATTTTATAATACTGCAACATACATTGTTTTATTAAAGCATTGATAGAAAAATATATTGTAAGGCAAACTGATCGTAACATGTGCTCCAGAATAAAATTATGAAGAGTATTCTGAATGCTCTCTAGTTTATACAAAGTGCACAAATCCACAAAGGCATTAAATGAACAGTCACAACTCTAAACTCATTCCTTAGCACAGCTTGAAAAAGTTAAAAACTTACAATTTCCAGCTATTGCTGGATTTCAGAATTATCACATGGCGATCAAAAATTCCCACAGAAGGTTTAAGACTATACACTACAATGCTATATGGTGAAATTTTTTATTTGTGTTACATAATTACTGATACTTGAGTTTGACTGACAATACTCATGTTGATTGATTATAGGTAATCCACCAGATTTAATTTTAGAAAATATACAATTTTGCCTTAAGAGAGGATAGGTTGGAAAAATAGTACAGTATGATAAATTCTCATTTTTGTGAACTATAGCTTTGATCTTAAAATGTTTGTGATTTTTTTAATGCCATTCTCATTTACAAACCTTTGATTTTATGGTCTCTTTTTTTTTTTTTTTTTTTTTTCTTTTCTCCTCATTTCATATGGGTTTACCAAATCAAGAATTTATTAAAGTGCATATATTCTTATTTCTTGCAACATACTATAATTGCATTGCTACTATTAAGTGTATAATATACCGTAGTAAAAAATAGATATTCATGGACTCGTAGGCAATAAACTGCTGCTGTTATATGGAAAAGAAACAAATGCGTCTACAATCAGTTTTAAGTGAATAACAATTAACAAGTAATAGTGATTATAATATTGTGTTAGGAGAATAACATTTTATTTTTAAGTTTGATTTTAGTTTTCAAAATTTATTAATTTTAAAATAAACAATTTGTTGTTTAATTTTCAAAAATAGTTGATTACAGCATAAAAACGAACTGACTGTCTTCGTACTAAAATCAAAGAAATATATAAATGTCATTTCTAAAATAAATTAGTATTTCTGTGAAATGCATTTTTTAAATAGCCCAGAAAACCAGGAGTATGCAAATTACATTAAGTTCTACAGTTTATATGGGCCATTAATTGCATAATTTGAGGACAACAAGTTTGGCTTGTGTATAAAGAAATGCAAAGAAAATATTTTTCCTTCTTCAAAAAATAAATAAAAATAAAAATTATTAAATAATTTGAACACTTTAATTAAAGAAATCTAATATACTTTGACAAGTTAACATTAATTTCAGTGCTTACTTATTGTCCTGCCGACTGGCCAAGTAGTGTCAATTATGGATGACCATGTAATTTGGCATTCCACAGTAACGATTGGCGACCATTGCCAAAATTTCCGTCATCAGTCGATGGGATACGTACTTTAATATTTAATGTAGTTTGTTTGGAAGAGATATTTAGTTTCATTTATTGAAAGTTTCATATTATCAAAGATCTAGTGTAACTTTTGTGAATAGTTTAGAACATGGTGTTTATAAAGATTGAGCTGAGATTCAAAAGGTTTTTATAAGTTAAAAAAAATATGCACTGATAAATATAAAAATAAATAGACCATTTGATAGGAAAAGGTTAGAAGAAAAGAAATTAAAATTTTTAAGTTAAATGCAGAATAAATTACTAAAAATTTGGTGTCAATTTAAATTGAAAAGTGGAAGTAGCTGTGATAAAACACTTAATTGGAAGTTATGAAATGATTTGATATTCAGATCAAAACATTGTAGTAGCTGAATTTTGTAAAACTAAATATTTTATCATATCAATATTTAGAAAGCATGCAGAAATATGTAGACATTTTCTGAAGTTCCATCAATAACCCTTGAAAATTCTTTAAGTTAATTAAAGGGATAATTCCATATATGTAAATATATCGTCTGAGATGCGTATTTTCTTTTTGTGCAGTATCTAATTTAAGAAACCTACAAATTGCATTATCCTTGTGTACTTAATTCACTCGTATTAATAACAAATGAATGCCTTAATTCCTTACATATCTTGTGCTTAACAGTGATAAATAAGATCCAGTCTAAAGAAATTGTCAGTAAAAATGATAAGTTTGTAAATAAAAATTATATCATGAGTATACATCCAGAATAAATGCGATGAGAAATAATAACAAGAACGCACGAAGAGCCATTCCACCCTTACAAGAATGCTCAGTTTGGCATTTCAGACACAGTATTGGGCCTATATGACCAACTAGTTTGAACTGAGCATGTAGGGAAAATGTGTTTTTCTTTAGTTGATGAATAGATATTAAAGAATGGTGATTATATGGTATCTACCTGCCCTTACTACAATGAATTTTTGGAATAGGGACATAACAAGACATTTTATTGTAATTCTATTGCACCAGCGATGTGAGATACTCACATCTTTTCTTGTGAAATGCTAGAAATGATGTCATTTGAAAGCTTCAGGTTTAGGATAGAAGAAGAAAACTGCAGAAGCCTTAAACAAAATTTCATGTGGTTTCATATTTTGACTGCATAGCTTGGGAAGGAGTTCAGTAGTTAATTAATTGAAACTAATAAGAAAGAAATTTCAGAGATCCCATGGCCTAACAATCTTGTAGTCATTGTAGGATTGAATATAAGCAATCTTTTTTTGAGGGGGTATGATTTTGTGGATTTAATGTTTAACTTCATAAGTAAACTTTTCAATTTAAAATTATAATTGTTTTATAATTCCATACTTAATTGCCTGTAATTTATGCCTTGAAATATCCTTTAATTTTGACACACAACATGCATTGATGATCTAAATTGTCGGATTTTTATATGATGACATGTATGTTAATAATTTTGACTTTATTTACTAAATTTATTTTCTAATTTTTAGAGCCTCATGTTTTGCTTTTTCGAAAGTCAAAGGCTAAACAAGAACAGATTTGATTTCATGACATCAGCCACTACATCAAGAGTTGTTCAGATCTGTGAAATTATACCACCGGGAAAGTAGGAAAAATGCTAATTGACAGTTTACAACTTTTCTGTAATTTTCTCATATTGCTAATATAAAATTTAAATTCTATTTTCATGTTTTTTACTTTTTTCAAATATTTTTCTTAAAGATGGAAAAAATAAAACCTTCGTATTTTCTTTTGAATTCTTTTATTGATTAGCAAACTTTCAACAACATAAAAGAGTTAAAATATAAAGCTCTTCGAAATATAACTGTATGGGAGATATAGGATATACTATTATGACAGGTAATATGCTTTTATTTAGAAGTTTTAATTAATTTTATGCCTTTTTGTGTGTGTTAATAGTGTCACTGAAATACAGATGCTATAAAGGGAATATTTTGAGGAAAATGTTTTTGTGTTTGTATTTATGTTGAGTAGAGTTCTCTTCATGAATATTTGGAAAACAGTATTTGTGTATGTAGATACTGAATTTATTAACTAGGTTAACTGTTACTATGACAGTTATTGAATTCCTTTTCATTTTATCAAGTTTTGTTTATTTTAAACAGCCTGTTAAAATTTTCAAATGATTATTTTAATTTTCTGATTTGGGGACTTAATGGGCATATAGCATAAATATGCTTTTTAACCTTTTCACATGAGGTATAGACACTATTTTTTGTGTATTGAAGCCATTTAATCAACTATTGAATCAGCAAAAAATTGAAAAACCGATCGACAGGGTCTGCTCTTACTTACTCTGCATTAAGTTACAAATTTTAAATTTCCATAAAAAAAAACTAAGTTTAATTTATGAAAACTTATATTTTAGCCTAATTAAATATAGTGAATGCATGGGACATGTATGTCCCATCCACCAGGAAAAGTTTAACCCATAATTTGGAATTATGCCCTAATGCGACAAAGAAATTGATGAGGTCATGTTGCCATCTAGTAAACTCTGTCTGATTACATTGAAATTTGATAGAAAGATTTCAGTTGTGGCCATGTTCTGATCTCACCCAACCTTCATTTTTTGCTTCACTCTTGTCATATGAGTGAGTACCAGAAACTTAGCTGGGCTATTCAAGCTAGTATGAATTTCTTCAATGAAATCCATTAAATTAATCTTGCTAAAATTTCAGCATCTTTCGGAATTACACTTGGGATGTGTGTTAATGATTTGGCTTTCTTTAGTCCCTTTAATAAGTTTTCTTACGATGGACAAATATTTATTTCAGTTGTTGGTTTTCATTTGTAGTATTTCTTCTCAGTACTTTGCTGCAGTTTCTTGGCTGGTGAATGACAATATTTGTGCCTGATTTTTTGGTCAACGTTGGAAAGCTTTCAAACTCCTTTCAATAATCCAAAAATAGCAACATGTCAATACAGTTTTAAAACAGTAATGTTGGTCAGTGAAGCTTGAATAGTCCCTTGCAGCCCATGTTTAGCTCCAAGTGATTATCATCTGTTCTTCAAACTAGCATCATCAATCTAGCTTCATTATGAAGGCCAATCACTGACACTCCAGCTATATTTATTTCGAAGGAAAATAAAAAATACTGCAATATAAAGCTTTTTTTTTTAATATTCTCGAAAATGTTACACACTCTAAAATTCAAAAGAGAAAACCTGCTCTGCTACACATAATGCAGGAAATTCTAATGCATGTATTGTTTGGGATATTTTAATGAATTAACTTTAAGTAAATTTATTTTTGGATGTTTCTAATGCTTGCTTCTCAGGTTTTTGGAATTTCTTTAAATATTCTGGGCATCTCCTATAACTACTTACTTGAGTTCCTTGACAGAATAAACACAGTTTTTTTCTTCTTGTTTTAATCGACATTCTGCATTTCTGTGTTTTTGCATGCATTCAATGCAGTGAGTTATGTTAAACATAAGTACTGCATATCACAAAATCTCTGGTAATTAAGGCACTGGATTGACCCTTCTCTTTTTGGTTTGAATTTTTCCATTAAAATGATTGATGCTGATAAATGTTGTTAGCATTAAATATTGCAAGTCCAGCTTCATTCCATTCAAGCTGAAGAAAATTTAACTCTGTTTTTCTATTTGTTCTTGATGTTTCTTTGTGAACTAGATTACTTGAATGATGGGTTTTTTTTTTTCTTTTTTTTTTTTTTTTTTTTTTTTTTTTTTTTTTTTTTTCTTTTTTTGCTAAATCATTCTTTGTAGCTTCCTAGGGGATAGAAGGGGGGATTTGTTTCAGTATCACTTTCATCATTGTATCATTTCTTCTTTAATAAGAATTAAAAGTGATGTTCTTACTTTTTTTACTGTCCTGGACTCTGTGGTAATCATGTAATTTCTTAACATGTATGAAAATGGTTGATTTTTCAAAATCACTTCTCCCCCCATATCACTAAGGGTTCTCTTCCTGTCCTGCACCAATCTATGTCCATATTTGTTATGACTATTGGCAAAATTTTCTCCTTTGATATTTTTTGTTCATCACTAGTCTCATTTTGAGGCTGCTCATTAGTAATGAAAAGTTATTTTGATGTGCTATTTCTGTATTTTCTTCTGTAGTGGGGATTCTTGCTGTTTTTCTTCGAGATATCCATATAGGGTTTTCTATTTTTCTTATTTCAGCTTCATGTTCCATTGCTTTGCTCTGAATTTCCATCTCAGCTTCCTTCAGTTTGGAAAACTTCTCCTCCTTAGGGGCGGCAGACAACTCTGTGCCTCTTATCAGGAGAGCCTCCAAAGAACCTTACGTTTTTAAGCATATGTACCTATATGTAAGATTATAAAAAAGGATGAAGCTAATGCAATGAGTTATGTTAAACATAAGTACTGCATATCACAAAATCTCTGTTAATTAAGGCACTGGATTGACCCTTCTCTTTTTGGTTTGAATTTTTCCATTAAAACGATTGATGCTGATAAATGTTGTTAGCATTAAATATTGCAAGTCCAGCTTCATTCCATTCAAGCTGAAGAAAATTTAACTCAGTTTTTCTATTTGTTCTTGATGTTTCTTTGTGAACTGGATTACTTGTGAACTGCATTTAAAATGTTGAAGTTTATTATGGAAATAGGCTTTCAAAAATCAATCTCTAACTATATGTGTTTCAGTTGCTTCTTGCAAGAGAAGGTTTTCAATTTTAAAATTGATTAAAAACTAACCTTGATCAATCGTAACTAATATTATAAATGCGAATGTGAGTTTGTTTGTTTCTTACAGTTTCACGCCTTAACCCATCATCATGAAATTTTCAAGAAATATTTTTGATATATTAGAAAAGTTTATAGGCTAACACATCTTTCAATAAGTCCCGAGACTAACTAAGAAAACAGCATCCATTTCACAAAATTCACGTTTATTCATCAACATAATCACCAAGAGCTATGCAATCATTCCAACGCTTTTCTAACTTTTCAATACGATGCTTGTAAAATGATTTGTTTTTGTCCACAAAATAAGCTTCAGTGGCAGCAATAACTTCCTCATTCGAGTCAAATCTTTTTCCCTGCAGCATCTTTTTTCAGATCAGCAAGCAGCCAGTAGTCGCTAGGGGCTAGATCTGGGCAGTATGTTGGGAAGCAGAATGAAGCCCAACTTGTTCAATGTAACCAGTGTTTGCATTGTCTTGATGGAAGATGGTTTTTTTTCTTCTTCGTGTGCGGTCGTTTTTTTGCAATTTTTTGCTTCAGAAGCGCTAGTATTTCAGTGTAATAGGTGCTATTGATAAATTTTCCCTTTTCAAGGTAGCCTATGTAAATTATACCTCGTGCATCCCAAAACACTGATGCCATGACTTTGCCAGCTGACTGTAGCATTTTGGGGCAGTTCGGACGGCTTTCACTGGCTGCACGCCACTCAGCTGACTGCTGCTTCAACTCTGGAGTGAAATAATGGATCTGCATTTCGTCCAATGTCACATACCGACGCAAGAAATCCTGTTCATTGTGAGTAAACAGTGGCAAACAGCTCTGTGAATCGTCAACTCGTTGTTGCTTTAGTTCCATTGTGAGCAAACGCGGCACCCATTTGGAAAACACTTTTTTTATGCCCAACTTTTCATGTAAAATCGCACACGCACTTCCGGTGGATATGTTTACCGTCTCAGCAATCTCACGATTGCGGTCATTCATCACGATTTTCAACACTTGTTTCACATTTTCCGGAGTAACTGCTTCATTTGGCCTACCCGCATCATTTGTATCCATGCGACTGCGCTTTAAATAAACATACCAACGACAGATGGTTGTTTTCGATGGAGCAGAGTCTGGATAACATTTTTCAAGCCGTTGCTGAGCTTGGACGGTACTTTTGCCCATTAAATAGCAATGTTTGATCAACACTCGAAATTTGTTTTTTTCCATTTTGTGCACAAGTAGTGCCACGTTCAGTACAGTAGCTTTGCTGTTTCCAGTATGAATGCCATGAAAATCAGACACGTGTCATTTGAAGGTTAGTTCTTTGGAACAACGCCATCTGTCGGTTAGTCCTGGGACTTATTGAACGATGTGTTATAACATGTTTTCATACGACTTTAATTAGCCGAGATATTAATTAAAAACTACTTTTCCCCCTACATTTTTCACTTTGTTGGGTTTTTCCCCATTAAAGGGATTTGGCTGCGTGGCAGTTTCTTTTTTCACAAATATCTATGGAACGGCGCATAGTTGAATTTCGAGACGCATATCCCGATTCCAAAAATTCGCCCGAATCCTTTGATACCTTTGACATTTTTGTACAACTTTAATGAGATGAGATATTAATTAAAAACTCTGCAAATGCTAATTTTTATGAGACTCAATAGCGACATTAGGGATTTTTTCTTAGGTCTTCCCATGTGGGTCCAATAAATTAGTGACAAAAATTATAACTTTTGATCCAATTATCCAAATGCTTTCATTCCTTAATTACTTAACCAATCATCATGAAATTATCAAGAAATTTTTTTGATATGTTAGAAAAGGTTATAGGCTATAAAATGTTTGCATGGTTTAAGCCACGCACCTGTGCATGCAGACAAACTTTTACATCGTTTAACTTATCGTTATGAAACTTTCAACACTTAATGTTTATACAACGACAATCATTTTAAGCTATAAAACATGAGTATAGTGTGTACCACACACTTATGACTGTAGCTTAAATTTAACAAATTACTTGCATTTTAATTTTGCTATGCTTTTTAACATAAAATACTACAATTTTTACATCAACATTTGTTAATTGTTTAGGAAACTAATGTCATACTAAGTACTACAGTATACATACTACAAATGTCACGCCTGTCACACTTTAGAGTACACTGATGTTATAGAGTAGGTCTTCCCACAGAGAAATGTTTATAGTGTTACAATTGAAGAAAGAATCATTATGATTATTTGAAACTGCATTTTTTCTGTGAAATACTGTTATTATTTTTATTTTTTGTTTGTAAGACAATGTTTTGTATAAGTTGTATATTTTTAAGTACTTTTATTTACTACAATCCTAACCAACGTCTGTTTTAATTTTAGACATAAGATATCTCTTTTTGTTTATTCCTTTACTAGAGCTATCAGGTGTACCCTCACATAAACTCTAATTGAAACTAAATGTACAGGTAATGCTTATGCAAAATATAGATGAACCTCGACTGTGTAATGGAACGAGGCAGATCACACAATTAGGGCAGAATATAATCGATGCCACTATTTTAACAGGTGTAGGAAAGGGGGAAAGTGTTATCATACCTCGAATCCCAATAATCCTCACTGATGTACCGTTTCACTTTAAAAGACTGCAGTTTCCAATCAAACTTAGTTTTGATGTTACTATTAACAAAGCTCAAGGGCAAGCATTACAGGTTGCAGGGATGCATTGGAAAAGCCATGCTTTTCTATGGTCAACTTTATGTTGCCTTTTCACATGTATCCAAAGCCATGAATTTATATGTATTAGCGCCGAATGGAAAAACATATAATATAGAATACAGAAGCATCCTAGAATAATACGCTTATTCGTTCTCTTCTGAAAAAGAATTAATATTTTTAACACTTTGTTAATACTTTAAACTTTTTGAAATCTTGGTAATGAAAGTTATTTATTTTTGTAGTAAGATATCTTAATAAAGCATGTTTTTCAGTTTTTTAAAATTATATTTTACTTTAACATTTTTTAGTAAAAAAAAAAAAAAAAGACATAAGATAAGATTGCAATGTTTGATATATCCAAATCGTATTTTAAGAATTATGCAGAATAGCATCTTAACAACATCAATATGGATTTCTTTTTATCTCAATGAAGAAGGGCAGTATTAATTAAATTTTGCGCAGAGTGTATTTTTAAATTAAAAAATAACTAATAGTAACTAAAATTTTATCCTGGTTATCTTGGTCAGGGAATAAGAAAAAAAAAAATCAACTTATTTTATTTTCTTCTCAATAATCTTTGAAACTTATTTAAAGATCAACGCAAGCAAAGCCGGGGGTAAAAGCTAGTAATGAGATAAATAAAATTTAATGGTTTTGCTTTCCATTGAAAATACAGTAGCTAAAAATGCTGATTTTAGTGAAAACTTTAAACAAACTTTCAGAAGTCAGAGCTCGCAAAAAAACTGGTTTAGCTTTTTTTATAAAAAGAAAAGTTAAAAAAATATATATTTGGCTACTAAATGAAAGTATTTCCCCCCTCCTAATTTTACTTTACGATTTACTTGTGATTAAATAAATGTTAGCTATATATTTGTGTTCACGTTTTGTATGGTGGTGTGGTGTCTTTTGAAACTAAAAATTGATTACAAAGGGCCATGTGTCGACAAAACGCAGCCAACTATCTCAGTGATCTTTTTAGAATGGAACCTTTCTGGATCAAAAAGATATTCTCCAAGAACAATCAAAGATCTTAAATTTTGTGGAACAATCACAAATGTGGTTAGAAATCAACTATCTGGTCACAGTTATTGAAGAGACAGTAGGCCATCTCTTTCTATTCTTATAACCCAAAAGCGCTGGGTTTGGGATCAAGTTTTAGTTTTTGTAATGTCTCAGCATTAATTTCACAAATCGTATAGTCTTTTTTGATGGTATTTCTTCTAAGCTGACACCTCGCAATGGCATTTGCATTGTGAAGAGAAATTTTCTTATTATTGCCATCATTACTTCTTTGGCAAGCCAAGCCCTGTCTGCAGTTTTGTTTCCAGGAATGCCAGCATGAGCAGACATCCACAGCAGAATGCATACCTTATCTAGATTGTCAGTTTCCTTCCGCTAATGCTAACTATCTCGGGCAAGTGTTGACTGAACTTTATTTACTGCATCTTAGGTACTCTGGAGTTGCAGAAGGCAATTAACTATTTGCTTTCTTCATATTCTTAAGTAGATAATGTTCATTAAGGCTTTGTTTACTTCTGTCAGTTCGCTGGTGAAATCTGAGGCAAATCTGCCCATGTCAAACTTGTGGTTCATAGTTATGCCATTCACACTTTATGTATGCCATTCTGGACAGTTGAGTTGCGCCATCAGTGTATGTGTTACTGTAAAAGATCAAAGTCTGGTAAATCCTAGGTTTTACCAGTAAAAAGCTAGCTTTTACCAAAATGGCTTGGTAAAAGTCCAAAGTGTGCTTTAATGATTCCATTTCAGCTTTTTACCAAGCCTTTTAGATAAAACTTAGGAAATACCAACACCTTCCAGTAAAAGCCCAAAATGAGGGATTTAAATTGACCTTGAACGAGTCTGCACACGCAAATTCCGTTGCTACACTCTGTTCCTGCTCCTTATTTGTGCTATTTACAGTTTAGCTTCCAACGAATTCAAACAAGTGTAAGTAGCTACGATCTGAAATAGCAGTTTGTTTCCATTTTAACATACTGTTACGAAATGTACAGGCGCAGTAAGATGGCTTCCCCGCAAAGCAGTTTGAGGGTTGCCACATTTGGCGAGATATTGCCCATTTGGCGACAAAATCGGCGATATCCCATGGACAGATGGAGAACCTTCTGGAACATATTATTACCGCTTTAGACCAGAATATTCTCGAACACAAGCCGAAAGCTAAATAAATCCTGCTGGTCTGCAGTAAGTTAGTGTGTGTCTCTCATCAAGTGTGTGTGCCTCGTCTAGCAAGTTGATAGTCAGTCATTGAGCGAGTGTCTCGAAGTCTAGCGCCGAGGTGGTCGTCGTGTGCATCAAAGAGAGTCTTTTAGTGCATTGCAAAGTAGTGCATCGTTGAGTTTTGTCTTTGACTGTGCTGAGTCGAGAGCTATAGTCTTGTGTATCGTCGAGTGCATCGTGTGGAGAGTCTCGAGAGTACGGGGAGTTCCAGAACAACCAAACAGAGTTGGGAGCTGTACTCAGGTGCTTTGCAGCGAAGCTGTCTCCACCGTTATTGCCTGACAATGTGAAGGATGTGTCATTTATTGTTCAACGTGTTTATAGTAGATCTCCGACGACTGTAAAAAGTGTTATTAGAGCTATCCTGATTAACATTGGCTAAATAAAGTGTGTTTTGATACTTCATCAAGTGTCGTTGTTATTCACTCCAAATCCACGAACGTAAACGAAGAAAATAACGCAACAACTGGTGTCAGAAGAGGAAAAACGTAACAATACTTTGCATTTTTCATTTTAATGAAAGAAAATGAGTGATGTTGTGCAGAAAAGTTTTATGACGATTAAAACAAATGACAAATAAGTGTAAAGATTAAGACAAAAGCACGATAACAGCTTTTATTTAATAAATGAGAAATACACTTCTTTAATAAACAAAGGGAAAGAAGCAAAATTGTGAAGGAAAAACAAGCAATTCGTTACAGAAGGTTGAACCGCTGTACTATTTTAAATATTGGAGGAGAGAACAAACTTATAGTACCATTATCTGCAGAAAAAGCATAAATCCTATATTATGTTACAAATAATGAAGTCTTCAACCTCATACACAACACTCAAATCGCACTTGGCATGCTGGAAGAACCCGTATGATTAAGGAACCGAATCACAAGTACAAGAATGTAACAGTCATCACTTATTTGAGACTATGTGAACCATTTCAGAAAGAAACAAAAAACTGTTAAAAAGGGGATTGTAATCAAACTAGTTGTGCATAGCGAAATGAACTCTCGATGCCAAGTCGACCTAACAGATATGCAGTCGAATCCTGATCATAATATGAAATTCATTTTAGTATATCAAGATCATCTTACAAAATTTGTCCTATTCTGAAGTTTATGCAGTAAAAGAGTTGATAAAGTAACATATCACTTTCTGGATATTTTCACAACTTCTGAAGCTCCTAACATTCTCCATTTTGACAGTAGGAGGGAATTTTGCAACCTAATTATAAA